GATTGCACCATGATCTGTACAACAGATCCCACAGTGGCAGCTCCAGGTCCCGATGCACACATCGCCACATCCTCGACCGGATCCGCCGACCGCGCCAGATTGGGCGCCCACACAATCGCCAGATTATACGCCGTCATCTTGTTAACCGACTCCCGCTGCGCAACCACGCTCAGGAGCGCAAAGGTGAAACACAAGATACGCCGATACTCTTTGCTTAGCGACCCCAGCACCTCTTCCTTGACATACCGTGCACGCACCGTATCCATCTGCTCAGCAACCGCCTGGCTATCGTCGTTCGTTTTTGTTGTGTTGGCTAGCGGGAGACCGCGCACAATAGCATAACTGCTAAACACAGCGAACGGCAATTCGCGGTAAAACAGCTTGAGAAGCACAGCGGCTACATGCACGCCGCCCAACGCCTCCAGATCCACCGGCTGCCCGCGGTTGTAGCTCTCCTTGGCCGCACGCAGCGATGTAGATGGTGGTGATCGGCGGAAAAGCCCTTCAGTGTCCAGCCCCTCGCGCCTTATAAACGAAATGCATTCGAGCAGAGGCTTTGGCAGCATACTTGCAACTGTATTGTCGTCGTTTGCTACTAGTTTATCGAGTGCCACGCCAAACGCTTGGCTCTCTTCTTCTTCCTCTTCTGCTTCGTCTACATCTGCTTCTCTTGTGCGTGAATGCTGCGACTGCGTTGGTTTGTGTGAGTGGGTATGTTTACTACCATCCACTTTCATATTATACCTATGGTAAAAAAGCATTTCTTTTTACGTTTTTATAAAAAGGTTTGGGTGTGGGAAAAAGGGGGGAGGCGATTATAGCAAAATAAAAATATTAGTACAGTAGTTTCATCAAATGCAAAATGCAGAAAAAAGGGGGGAGGAAGGAGGAAACAGAGTGCTAGAAAAGAAAATAAAGATAAAATATCGGGATAAATTTCAAGAAGGAAAGAAATAAGGGAGGGAGAGGCGCGCTCTTATTGAGCCGAGGTGTGTGCTCTTTTCTTTCTTGGATCATTTTTAGAATATCCTAAAGAGACTAGCACGTGCCCAACATTCCTTGAATAAAAAGAAATCGAAACGTTTTTCCCCTTTTAGCATTTTATACTGCATGTGACCTCCATCAGCAAATAACTTACTCATATACCGGTTCTGGGACGCTGATCTGGTTGAGCGGTACTAGCCCTGCCAGCTGTGACAGTGTATCCACCCATGTCACTTTGGCAAAGAACTTTGGGCTACTCAGTCGCCGTTTGGTGCGCAGTTTGCGGTCATCCAACGAGTGTCGGAGTGTAAACGATTGTTCCAATTCCATTGTTCGAGAAGCCGACGAAGAAGAAGGACTTTCATCAAATGACAGTGACCGCCGTCCAATACGGTGCAGAAATGAAGCGATGCCCGTAGCCATTATATACGCAAGAGAAGAGGTGGGGAAAAAGCAACGGAGAAAAGGAAAGAGAGAGAGGGAGAGAGATCTTTGAATATTAGTAACTTTTGGTAAAAGACAAGAAAGGCAACGTAGACGGTTCTCTTTCTCCCAAGAACAAAAAAACCATGGATGTTCGCCAAAAACAGTAAGGAATATGAGGCTTATCATGCTGTTGTTCGGGTTTTCTTTTTGTGTGCATGAAAACCGTGGCTGACGCCGCCAACGACCACCAAAGAAAACCCAGACCTTTTACTTTTTTCATGCTTTGCAGTTTAATTCTGCAAATAAAATCAAACTTACCTGACAATACGGCCCAGAACCTGGAACAGAACCTTGGACCACATCGACGGGTGAACCACATACAGGCTCTTGACGTTCTTGCGGTACTTGCGGTCGAGTCTGCGGTACGCCTTGCTCATCCACTGCCATCCCGGACTATGTGTTGCGCCGCTGGTAAACAGAACCACCGTGTAGTCGTTCTCGACAAACTCATCCAGCCGAAAGATAATCAAATTAAGCAGCCGGTCATAGTCGACATCCTTGGCGCTGGGTAGCTTGCATGCGCAGAAAACCACCATTGGTTTGCTTTCAAAGTCAACGCCCGCTTGGAATATGACATTGGTGTTGACGTACTCGAGCAGCCGCCCACCATCATTGCCTTGCATAACCGACGCCTTGAACTCTGTGTACGTTAGCTGCTCCTCGAGCGCGGCTAGCGCGCGCGAATCCAACGTGCCGGCAGTATACGACGCTGCACGCTCGACGATTGCCTTCATTCTCCACTGCCTAAACTGCTCGTCCATGATTTTGTAAATTCACGCAAAAATCAATGTTTGGAAATGTACATAAAGTAACTAGAGAGAGGCGCTTTTTCTTGTTTGACGTAGTTTGTTTTAATTCTGCTTCAAATGAAAAATAAATAGTGAAAAGAGAAGAAAGGCGGAAATTACCACAAAAACGAAGACTCGCGATGAAATAAGTTTCTGGTTGAGTTTCGTCACAACCGCCCGCCAGCGCAAAAACAAAAATAAAAAATAAAAGCCTTGCTTTCGATTTTGATTCAGTGCGCCAAGATCTGTCAAAAACGAGTTGATGAATCTTGGCGCAAGCATGATCTGAATCATGTGTCACTTGCTCTTTTCCGCTCCTAAAAAATCAGGAGAAAAATGCCTGAGCAACGTGTCATGTTCTTTAAAGATGATCTTGTGATCTGTTCCCAAAATATACACTCATTTAGTATGAGATGTTGCAAAAGTATATATTCCAAAAAAAAACGAGCAAAGCGCTTGTAAAGCTGTGATCAATTGTCCTTGTCTGTCTTTTGTATTCTCAACGTTAAAAAGGAAAATGTCCCAGAAACGCCGGCGACCAACCAACGACCATGCATATCTAGACGACTCAGTCGAGCAAGTTCTGACGTTAGATGACCATACAATCGAGGAGCTTGAAGCAGAAGGAGGCGATGAGCTCAACAGCAGCAGTCTTCCAGAGCACCTCCTACCCTTAAAGAACAAAGAGACAGAAGAGGACGAGACTGAAAATATCGGTGGAGAGACCCTTGATTCTGGTCCGGCACGTCAAATTAGCGATTTCTACACCCAAGAAGAAGCCGCTGCTCTTTTCCGCAAACCCAAAAAATCCAAAAAATCTGCAACAGACAAGAAGCGGAAGAAACATGGCAAGCAAACAGATGTCAATGATCTGGTCGACAGCGAACGGGTCAACGACCTGATGACCCGCCACACCCAAATAGACGACTCTAACTTTGTGGACGATGACGACGACTTGCAACGCGCAATAGCACGGGTACGCAAAGCGTCTTCGCGTAGAAAGCCGATACTTCCTGAAGATATAGCATCTCAAGTTTTGCGTCCAAATAACACTGATTCGGATATTAAGGAGGAAGACGCTGATAGCGATGACTTGATTCTATCTAGCACGATAGAGTTTGTGCAGAACATAAGAGCATCAGTGAATGAAATGAAAAAATCGCTGACTGCCGATAGTCGCCAGCACCGCCCTACGAAGACGGATCCAGGCTCTGGCATTGAGCTTGCCAAAGCAAATAGCAAAGAAACGGAACAGCATGATAAGAAGGATAGTGAACCCGAGCCGAATCATCAAATAAATACGGAAGATGCAGAGTTTGAGGCTGAGCCCTCGGTTGGCTCAGGGCTGGCTGCCACTCTCAGTTTGCTCCGCCAGCGCAACATGCTCGACAATCTCAGCAAGGACCAAAAGGAGCGCGAACAGCTTCAGCGTAATCGCACTGCATGGCTGGCCGAGCAGCGCAAAAAAGAACAAACCCTTCAGCAAGAGCGCCAGCGCATCAAGCGGCTTGGACGCGACTTGAGCAACGCCCCAGACGTACCTACCAATAAGCGTGACGGATCTAAGCGCCGCGGCAAGGCCGATCCCTTGTCGCAGCAAGAGATTGAAGAACTCAAAGCGCGCGAGCAGGAGATATTGGATCGCAAATGGGCGCGCGAATATGAGGAGCAAATGAAGGACTACAAGCCCGATGTCAAGCTTGAATACCACGACGAAACCGGCCGCAAACTAACTACCAAGGAGGCCTACAAACAGCTTTCGCATGCTTTCCACGGCCACTACAGCGGCAAAAATAAGATCGACAAGCTGATGCAGAAGCGCGAGCAAGAGCGCAAGCAGATGGAAATGGCTACAAGTAGCACCACCCACGAGCACGGCGCGGCGCTGGAGAACGCACATCGCAAGCACGGTGCCGCTGGCATTGTAATGTCTGAGAAGAACACAAGTGATTTGAACCATAAAAACGGGCAGTACTAGCTAGATGCCTATTGCACAAAATTGTGTATGCGCTTTTTTTTTTAAGTAAGGCGGTTTTTCAGTGAACATTTGGTATTTCTCTCTGCTACTCTATTTGTATTGACTTTATTTTATAAAAATGGCGAACCGCACAGTCGCTACGGCTCAGTCTATCCATGGGACTAATCCACAGTACCTTATCGAAAAGGCGTACCGCCAACGTATCTACGACTCGCTTTATTGGAAAGAGCATTGTTTTGGCCTGACTGTGACCGGTGTCATGGAGAAAGCAGCTGACCTGAAGAGCATCGGTGGCTGCTATGGTGCAAACCGCAAGCCAACAGAGTTTATGTGCTTGATGCTGAAGATGCTACAGCTACAGCCAGACCGGCAGATGCTTGATGCGTTGCTGGACCAGACTGACTTTAAGTACCTACGAGCGCTCGCAGCCCTGTACTTTCGACTTACACAGCCCTCCAAGGATGTGTACAGTAGACTGGAGCCACTTTATCGTGACTACCGCAAACTGAGAATGCGAACATCCGACGGACCGCTTGAACTGACATATGTGGATGAGTTTGCAGATTCGCTACTGCGTGACAATTTTGTGTGCTACATTACTCTACCGCTTCTAACAAAAAGAATGGCGCTTGAAGACGCTGGAGCGCTGCCCCCACGGATCAGTCCACTTGATGACGATTATAGCAGCGACAGTGATTCGGAGTAATAGTGTTCAAAAAATAATTCTGTTAATTATAAGTAATTTCAGGAAAATTAAAAAAAATCGTCAGCAGCAGGATTTGAACCTGCGCGGGCAGCGCCCACAGGATTTCAAGTCCGGCGCCTTAACCACTCGGCCATACTGACTTTATTTTTGAAAATGCGACCCAATCGCACATACCAGTTTTGGGGTTCTAACTAGCTGTACACCCTTGTCCTTTTTTCTTTGTATTTGTGATATACGCTGCGAATTGATAGTAATAAGCACTATTCCCCAGATTATTTTTTTACTGGGACAGTTTTATCAGGTCAAACAGTACCCTATCATTCTTTACTGTATTTTCGCAGCTCTGACAAAAAGATTTACAGAATATGATCTTTTCTGGTAGTACTTCCCTTCCACATTCCTTGTTTCCACGTTCTCATCAACGTTTTCTCCTTTTTATTTACTGATACCTTTTCAGTAACTACGTTCAATATCTCTGCTTGATTTAATTCTTAAAAATATGACTCCGGTCCGCTGTCCAGGTCATTCCAGGCACCATTAAAAACCTAGGCCGAACAGCGTATTATCAACTTGAGTGCTGAAATCTGCAAGGATCCAAAGTGGATGGGTTTGGTTGATAATAAGGAAGAGCGAAAGCGTTGATATGGTCTGGCAACTAAGGAATATTGCATGATATTAATGGCCATAGAGTTTCTTTTTGACGAACTAATTCACTACAAGACGCTGCATCAGCATTGCTGAGACAAGATGTTTCTGGGAGGCGCCAACATGGTGTGGATAAAGGGTATTCCAGCTGACGATTGCCTAGCTGAGGAGGTTAAACGCTACGCAGTCGTTTTAGAAACTCTCTCAACGTGGCAAACGGAACTGAAAAGCAACAAAACGCTGATGCTCATTGACCCGCTACTCTACCCGCTTGACTATGAGCTGTCGCATCTGCTACCAAGCGTGATTGAATCGCCAGATGCAACGCTCAAGGTTAGTACTTTCGGTGATAAGCCTGAATCCTTTGGGAAGAGGGCCAATGTTGTGGTTAACCCAAACAAGGGCATGAAGACAGATGAAGATTTCTACCCGGATTGAGACCACAGTAATGACTTTTTCTGGCTGCCGACGTATATTCGAATCAGCGCGGATGAATCAATGGATAAAAAGTCGTATATAAGCAACTTTCATCCAGTTCAACACTTAGCATTTTATGCGACTCCCTCAAAGATCCTCGCAAGCGCCATCCTATTAGTTAAACAGGTACTTACGGATCTAGTCCACCCTGCTGTTGTGTGAATGCCATTATTTTCCAAAGAGTGTGTTTAGTTTACTGTGCCTTATTCAGACAATGATACCTGGGGCAAAGCTGATTCAAATGTCAATCAGGACGATGCCTACAAAGCCTGGGAAGATGGGATCATCTACACAGAGCTAACAGCCTGTATGTTTGATAAGCTAAATCGTCCGCCTCATTAGCAACTACGAGTACTTTCCTTATTTTAACGATATAACTGACAAGAATGTGTTTGAACATGTCTACGACTATATTGGCGTGTCTAGAAATAGTTTTTACCGCCACTAGTTTGATGATTACGCAGAAACTAAACACGGCCGCGTTGTGTACTTTCTAAACTCGTATCAATATTATGAACCAACAGCGGAGTTGGATGATGCATTCAAGCCAGGGCATACTTTTGGCGGCAGTATAGATGAATGAACATTTCCTGGCCATTAATTCTTATGATAGCGTTCTACACATTTTTACTGACCTTGACAAGCAATATTTGACACGGAACTATATTGAGCAAGGCTTTAGAAAGTTAAAATAAGTGACTACGGAAGTAAGAATTGGAGCAACAAAAAGTGAAAGGCGGATGAATTCTTATCAGCGGTTTTCAGCAAAGCAATGACATTTAATACCAAAGTCAGTGTGGCTCATTTAACCAGCGACCACTCACCTTTTTCAACGCCATACGAGAGTATCATGGCTAGAATTTCTATACTTGCGCCGAGAATAAGTTTATTCGTTGTCTTTTTGCAATGATACGATAACTTTGTCAGTGGCACATATTCGAGGCTGCGCTATATCTCGGTTCTAAATGGTAAAAGCATTTCTAGCACGCAATTGAGCTCTATCGATTTTATAAAGTTCACTATCAGCCTTATTACTTCAGCAGAAAAGTCTCTCACATTTAATAGCTACCCATTGGCTATGGATAGTATCGATATCATCAGTACAGGTCCGTATTTGGGAGGCATCCAGGTCCTCAATTTGGTAAATACCCATGTAAAACTACCTGAGCTGCTTGCGCCGATAAAACTACTGTCAAATATGACTAGGCTGATATGCCAACCAGAAACAGCCATTTTTAAACCCGATAGCATGCGTTTGAGCGAAAATATCAAAGTTTCATGTGCAGAACTATCCTCTGAGCCATTGTCTTAAACACTTGGAAGTTGCGCTGGGATTCCGTTACAAGGTACTACATATGGCATCGAAAGCATTAGCACTCGCCGTTCTGTGCACCAACTTTGTGCCGGCGTTTATTCCATTCAAACATAGAAAGGAAGTTGAGAGCGACATTAAAAAAGCTATTGATAGCAATTTGTATAACGAAAATAAGGGCGAAATCCAACATCTTTTTCATAAAATCGACTGACATTTTAGACGATGCGGGCCAAACTTTGCATCATAACAGCAATACATATAGCTTATTTAGCTTAACTCAGAAATACGCATTTGAAATTTATTAAACAGAAATTTATACAAATAGAATAGAGTTTAGTTGCAAGTGCCAGCCAGGGTCCGGCGTTGCATCTGTCTCTGGTACTTCATTCGTGGCATTGCACACGATATACTCATTAAATACAGCTGTGTCTGGCTTACTTTCCTCAAAAGTGGAGAATACCGGAGTGTTTGGTGGCGCATAATAACCGCCTTCTAGTTCGTAAAACACAATTGTGCAATCGGTCGGCAGTACTGAATTTAACAAAGGGCGGTAGTTGGAATCTGGCAATATACGATATTCCGAGGGCATATTCTCGTTCTTTGGCACTAAGAACCCTACTATTTTTATTTGCTCAGTAGGATGCCGTTTGCGCCAAATGGATTTGACCGTTTCTCGTAGCTCTTCATAGTCGACCTATTAAAAGCAGAACTTTTATGGCGGCTATTAGAGTATTGGTAAATGTATTCTGTCACGCAGATTGAAACCGATTATATTGCTTATTGTACTTACAGTTGATATGATACTTGCTGGTTCCGGGTATTCATCGACTCTTTTTTGGTCAAACGTATTGCTTGGCCAAAGTATTTGCTTAGTAATATTGCTTAACCGGCGGCGATGCGAATAATTGATTGGACTGCTCCATGAACGAGGAAGGACTACCATGTGTTTTATATTAATAAAGCGAGCGCGACAGAATTGGTGTAGTATAAAGGTGTACTTGAATAAAGAAAAAAAGTAAAAGAAGGCAAAGGAAAGGGGTGCTTGGGTGTGCTGTGGCGAGGAGGGGCCAAGCACATACCCGTGCCTACAAAGAATAGAAACTCTCACCCCCATTTCCCTGTACATTTTGTGCAAAGAATTGGGGAGATGCGGACATGTTAAAAGTCATAACCATCTTATTTGTCCAGATGTTGGGTTTTTTCTATAGAAAGAAAATGGATATTATAATAGGAAACCGAAGTAGAAAGATACAATGAAAGAGTGGATATAAAAAGTATAAAAAACTAGCGTAGATTCATCTTGGAAATCTTGGAGTAATCTCTGGCTACATGAACCAAGCCAAAGATGGCAATGACAAACCAAACACCAATAAGCGTAAGCATTAGAGGAATTCTGGATTTCAAGCTGCTAATGTACGAGTCGCAAAGCTTGCTAACCATTCCACCAGTGTATCCACCCGACTTTTGCGCATCCTCAACTTCCTGTCTGGTGAGCTCGGATGTTGGCACGGCGTTAAGGCTATCGTAGTAGCTTTCTCTTTCCTTGTCAATATAACCTTCGCTGTCGAGGTTTCCAAGCTCAGATTCTGTCGATGATTCGTGGTGGGTAGACTCAGATGGCTTGGCAGATGATGTCTTGGTGGACGATGCCTTGATGGATGACTCGTGGCTAGATTCGGATGAGGGCTCTGTTAGAATCTCCCCATCGCTTGAATTGGACGGCTCTGCTGGAGGATCATCGCGCTTCTTGCGGTTAAGTCCGTTGTTGCCCGCGGCAATAATGACTGGAGCACCGTCACCACTGGCAGAGCTAGCCGTGTCGCTGTTAGCAGGAACATTAGGAGCAGCGCTGTCACCAGAACTAGGCGTTTCGGCACCATCAGAAGAGGTGGATGACGGAGTGTCGGCTTTGCTGCTACTAGAACTCCCGGATCCTGGAACAAGATCTGCTGGGTCAAGACCTGCCGCTGACAGATCATCGTTAGTGGTGGAGCTATGGCCGGACACTGGGTTAATAATTCCCTGCTCTTCTCCAACACCACTGTCTGATTCCTCTGACTCCCCAGACTTACTATGACTTTCGCTCTCGATATCGTCGCTATTCAGCTCTGATTCCGACTCTGACGAAGTCGACTCATCCAAAGCAGTCGGGAAATCCGATGCAACCAAGCCTGTAGCGTTAGCCACATACTCGCCAACAATAAGTACGCGCAGCTTGTCAACGGTGGAGTTGAGCGGTTTTATCAAGGATTCGACTGGTTTAAGCAACACATCGTCATCAATGAGGGGCAGCGTGACACCGCTGGCCAGCTCATTGAACCACGTCAGGATCTTCTGAAGCGACTGGATATTCTTGGTCAACGTACAGTTGAGTATTCCCTCGATAGCCTGTTCGAGGAAGTTGTCGCCAAACACGCTACGCACGCCGCCAATGTATTTGGCAACAAAGTCATTGAGCGTGTTGTTCAGAGACTGGGTACCTTCCTCGACTGGACCAAAGAGCGATTTGTTCAGTGAGTTTTGCGTCGAATTGATATCGCGGTTGATGCTGTTTGCCAAATCGACAGAGTCGTTGCGCACTCCACCGAGAAGCACATCGTCTAGAATGCGGTACTCAAAGTCATTGAACTGGTACGCAACCTTGGGCATATACTCCTGCCGCAGCCCGTTGATCATCTTGATTTGAACCAAGATGGAAATCAT